AGTGATTTTTTGGAGAAATGCAGTGAAATACTAACAACGTATTGTGGAGAACAAGTTGTAAGATAATGGCTCGCTAATTAGCTAAATTCTGGTGAATATCCTGAGATAGAGAGAGACATGGCTAAAATATTAGACGTTTTGCTGAATACACTGGGTAATACTATTTCTCATTAGCTACACTTTAGTGACTATGCCAAAATATATGGGGAGTAATTGTTTTTAAGACAACCCAATGAGATACTGGCTACAGTTTAACAAGTATGCAAAGGTAATATATCAAAATAGATATCAAGTACATTTTGACAGAAGTATGGGTGACTTGTAGTAACACAACCCAGTTATGTTCCACATTAGTCTGATCACATACAATCACTTCCTCTTATCTTGCTAAATTTGTTATACAAATTAAATGCCTAGGTTATTTTAAAAATTAAGGTATGACAAATTATTTTTTTGCATAATGTTGTTTAATTCAGTTTTATCTGTTTGCAACATTTTCAAACATTGTAGAATGATCATCTATAATAAACTGTTTACTTGAAGTTTTGTAAATATCTCATTTCTGAAAAGTGTGGTTTTTATACTAATAGTAATAGCGATTTATAATTCATTGCCTTTAAATAAGTTATTAGTTAAATAACAACACTGAGTTAAAAGCAGTTTATTTTGTAAAAAAAAATATGGATGTCAGGTGAATAATCTTGTTGATTTCCATTTTTCGTATATAATGCAAAAGCTTAGTTTGAAGAAACCCATCTTCATTTTAGTAACTGCTTAATGAGCTATTGCAAAACTGTAATGACTTTTTCATTCGTTTGACTAAGCGTGATATGCAGAATATATTATCACGTAAAGTTTGCCTGGTATTTTTCTACCAATAAACTATTATTAAAATTCCATAATGCTACTTCACGAAAGCCTAAGAGGAAATTGTCTCCTTATGTATTCTAAGTATATATATCACAGTTCTTTCACAGTGTTAAAGACCAATGCACATGTTTTCAGTTAATAATAAAGTTTTCCCATTTTATGGTGAAAGAAGCTGGATAGTAGCTACATGTGAATTGCTTTTATGTGGCAATCTATACATTTAAGAACTTTGCTATAATTTAAATTTAACAGTGGCTTAAGAAGCATAGTACATAAGTGTTTGCATCGTAAATGAATAAAATATTTTTTCCATCTAATAGTTCACGAAAATTAAAATACCAAGTTAAAACTTTAAAACGTGTGTTAACCTATTTACATAAATCTTTGGTATATAATATATTGGTTTAATTGCCTGCATCACTGAATCATCATATTGTTCCTTCATAGAAGATAAATGTTAAGAAATTTTTATATTAATTGGCCTATTTAATGACTAGTAATATAAAATTGTAACAAAATAATTCTAATTAGTATATATAAAAAAAGTAACTGAAACACCAAGCCATATTTTTTACCATGTGATCATAAAACTATAAAATAATACTGCAAATGATTACTTATGTTTTTACATAGAAAAAGCAGAAAGTTATTCCATTACATGTTGTTATTATATGAGGTTTACAAAGAGACAGAATATAAATTTTTCCTATAAGTGAATTCTCAAATACAATTAAATGAACATAACAAATATTGAGTGTTTCTGTGTTTAAATTTGTTTTTGTTTTTTTTAAAGAAAATAGCCTTAGAAGTACATCAGCAATTTGAGAAGATGTTATCTCACATGATACACTGAATTTTGGCAAAATATCTTGGATGTTTTAATTTTAATGGTCTGATGTAAGAATAAATAATGATGAGATAGTTTATATGAAAATAAATCATTAACATCTAAAATCAATTGACACAAAGAAGCCAGATATATCACTAAATTCTTCATTTTTCATCAGCCTTATTCTGCAGTGTATCACAAGCTGTGCATGAAAATTTGGACAAGGAAATAGTAGCAGTAGTTACAATAATTAAACTGTTTTTATATTGCAGATATAACAAGAGTAAATCATGTTAAAAAATGTTTTAATCATATTCATATATGATTAAGTTCACTATTGTACTTTTATACATAAGCAGACTGGAGCTAACAGACAAATCTGTTTAATTCTATTTTTTCTCACTTTGCTATGAAGATCTGAATACCCAGATCACAAATGATTGTTTTATACTTTTAATGCTGGGTATGGAGAACTTCAAACATTTTAATGGAGCTTCACACACTTCTGTACAGGAAATAAATCCTACCATAACTTAACAACAAATAGCATAATTATTTTATTTTACAATGGGATTTGGTAGGAGAACAGTCACATTACAACAGCTAAACAGGCCAATGTTCAATATTGCATAAAGCAATTGCCACTGTCAGTGAATTCTGGCCAAAACTGAGTCTCTGAGTAATCAATACATCAACAGTTCACTGGATTCAATCTGAGCCGTGGCAGTTGCTCAGTTATAAGAATCCTGAGGCAATGTCAACACCTATAATATTAACCAATCATTCTTCACCTGTAACTGGGAGGTGGGCCCTACCCTAACTGCCACGGTAACTTAATTTCTTGAAAAAAATTCTAACTGCCTCCTTGGTTGAAACAATTTCTTCATGCAACATACGAGTACATTTTCCTAGAGAAAGAAATAAATGAACAGATTAAACCAAAATGCTAAATTTACAGGTCTTATTGCATACAAGTAACAGAAAAATTAAAAGATTTATTGATTTATTATAGTAAAATGTAAAAAGCCATCTGTTGTTTCAACTTAAAAACAATGCTCCTACATCATTCCTGCAAAGAATCATTACTTACATGTGAACATGTGTCCACATACATATATATATATATATATATACTTTGTAATATCACATCTGTAACCTAACTAGATATTTTTAAAGCATTTTTCAGAAATAAACTGACTTAAACATACTCAGGTATTTAGTTAACATCTGGTATTCAACTCAATGAATGCAATTTTATTTTGGTGGAATACACAATTCTACCACATCAGTAAGTTTAAAAACAAATTCAGTCTCATCATTTGTAGAGTCCTGAAACTACAAACAGTTAAATGGAAGTACTTTCCAGTGAAAACAAGAAATACAATGACTGTTGCAGTATTAAATTCCACATAAAATAAAAGTAAGAACATGCAGTAGCATTATGTATTACCATTACTGCTTTTTATGGTTCATTCTTTATTTTTATACACACATAATTAAGGACTCTAACTTGTAATGAAACAGCTATATTATTTCATTTACAATGAAAGACCACGCAAATTCAATACACAGATACTTTACATTTTCAATGAATGAAAAAGTTTAAAACTATTCAAAACTAAATTTCCATATATTTAATATTTTTATACACAAATTTCAATTGTTGCCATAAAATATTCAGTGCTAAATCTAACTTGCATTTGACACACAGTATAGTAATTATCATAGCATACTTTCTCCTCAGTTTACAAATACAATCAAAAGCATGATGCATGTTAAGTGTTCATTATATGTTCTAAAAATATTAACATATATTAAGATTCACTTCTAAGTTTCAAAAATACATTCTCTGTAAATTTTAACAGTGTTTGAAATCCATATTAAATTATGTAATACTATATTTATTGACTCAAACAAAAAATAAAAACTACTAAATTCTAATAATTAATGTTTTGTTTCATGACCAGTTATTTAAATCTGTATCATAAAATATATCAAACAAATCAAAGTCAATATCTCCTACTAAAACACCACTGTTTAACCTTTTACTAAAGTAGAACTCTTTATTCCTTGTGCAGACACTTGTTTTGGATATTTTGTTAAAATGTTGCAGTTTTTGCTTCATAGTTTCAAAGTCAATAAAACTGGTTGCTCATGATTTCATGGTAGAAACCTGAATACTTATAATGTAATAAGACTCATATTAATTTTTTATAGCACTCAAAAATTGCTTAAAAAGTATTTTAGGCACACTACTTTCAATTACATAATTTATTCATCATGATGCAAGTATATGCAGCACATACTTTACAGACATCCATTCAATATTCAAAACGTATCTGACATAAATCTTAGGGCTTCTCTGACCATTACTGTTTTGATTTTTCTGTGATAACAGGGAAAGAAACCTCTTGTACAGGTGAAATAATAGTTAATCCAATTTTGTTTTTTTAACTTTATCACAGCTAGACAGTGATATACAGCTGCAGAAGTAGAGCATTAAATGTCAGAGAAGCACTATGATTTACCCAAAACTTCTATGAATGCACGTTATCTTGCCCATTTAAAGATATGTGGTAGTCACGTGATTGCCATGTGAACACAATGTATAACCACTAGAAAATTTGGAAATTCCCTTGGAATTCACTATATATAGCCAAGGTAAGTACACCTGTGTGAAGATATAGGGAAAGAAGACTAACATAGGCATAGATTAGAATAATGTACAATACAGCAAAAATGTCAAAACACCAAATCTTGCCTCAGCACTATAGTTTCATGATGGATATTTTTATTTCTGATTTATAACAATAATTGTTTCTACACTCTTTACATTTTTCAAGTTTATCAAAACAGAGAAATTTATTTTTTTTATTGATTGTTTGTTTTGAATTTCGAGCAAAGCTACACAAGGGCTATCTGTACTAGCCGTCCCTAATTTAGCATTGTAAGACTAGAAGGAAGGCAGCTAGTCATCACCATCCACCACCAACTCTTGGGCTACTCTTTTACCAACGAATAATGGGATTGACCATCACATTATAATGCCCCCATGGCTAAAAGGGCAAGCATGTTTGGTGGGAGGGAATTCGAACCCGCGACCCTCAGATTGTGAGTCAAGCACCCTAACCACCTGGCCATGCCGGGCCTTTTTTTTATTGAAGACATTATTATAGCTGCAAACCTGATCATATCATTTAGTTATTCAGCCTAACTACTTCCATATTACCAATAAAACTTGTATTTGTAATATTCACTAGCATCAATGTTACACCAGATTGACAAGATAGTTCATTACTATTAGAACAGATGCTCAATTTATTAATTAGCTTCAAACTATTCAATAAACTAAAACAAATACATAATCTGATTATACTGATGGAAATCTACTAGTAATATATTTAAAGTAATATGAGAAGTAGTAAATTAAGCCACAAGTCTTCTCATAATGTGGTTATTAAAAAAAACATAAAAAATATGATTAATGAGCAAATAATTTGTAAACCAGATGCATTTAAAAAGGAAAAAAAAAAGAAAAATAGACAAAAATCCTCCTCCTACTTTCTTTTTCTTTCCTGGGCATTTCATCTGGAGTTCCTACCAAAACATAAAAATGAAAAGAAGGATGCAAAATGTTCAAAATTGGCAGGATCTCTAGACAAAAAAGCCATCAGATTTTAAGTTGTTGGTTTCCGAGAGATAAACACTGTCTCCACATTCAACATTATGAATCTTCACTACAGTTATCCTTTGTCATTCTCGATTTTACCATTCAGTTACCTGTATTCATGGTACAGCTGCAGTATATCCCTAAAACTAGTGTGTGGCTTGTATTGTGCTGCACTGCGCATCACACACTCCCGTGTCACACACCACAGCATCCCACATGTTCTCAGTCTTTGTTCAACCATGGTGTTTCTGTGCAGACCCTCTCACGTAACGTCTTCGAGTCCTCTTCCTGGTTCCTGTGCTGCCGCTACCTCTATTACTAATGGTATTCCAAGTTTTAGCATTCACGGCAATTTCTAGAAACTATCCCCAGTGAATGGCAAGGGATAACTGTACCACATTAGGCCGTAACTGCATTTCAAGCTCTATTCCTGAATTCCACCTTAAGAAATATCTGCCATGCTAGTATCTCAAATAATATTATCAGCTGACATAACATGATGAAATCCATTTTATGTATTGAACATCAGCCCAAAACCAGTTTCCACTGAAGCTCAGTTCACTTCAGTGCAAACCTATCAACAGCAGAACTTTTAATTCATATTGATTATGCACACTAAAGACTTGTTTCATTATATGAAATTCTTTAATTTGTCCATAAAAATATATATATATATAAGCAAACTGTGGCAAAGTTAATTTGCTCAAGAGTACAAAAGGCATGAAACTTTAGTATTTCGAAAAATGGGATATCTGTGGTGTTGGAACTGTATTGGTAAAGCAAGGGAATGCATGATACCAATGAGGAAAAACTAATCCATGATCAATTACTAGTTGCACACCAGATGTAGCAAATAAATTAAACACCTTGTCACCAGATGTAAGTCATTAACACAGTGGTCCATTGATTGTAGCTGAAGTACAAATCTTTCTTGAAAATGTAAACAAGACTATTTAATTTTTTTTTAAATATTAAAGACTTGATGATTGATCAAATCAATTTATATTTAGTGGAATAAAAGGAATTCAGAAATTTTTTCAGTGACAAATACATGTATCTAATGTGGTAGATAAATGAAATGTAAACATAGGAATTAGGTAAGAACACAAACAGTCTCGTTAAGTATACCTGTCTTCAGGTGTTCTAGCTAAGTACTCTCTCTCTATCAAACCTTCAATTCTCTTCTTAATTACAACTGGACTGGGATAAAATCGTGACTTAAGTTGTTCAGTGACCTGTAAAATCATATAAATATATGCTCATTAAAAAAAAAAGGACAACCTAGACAAACAAGTAAATACTAAATCAATACATAAATACCATGTGATGTTTAAGTCCCCATCCAAAAATACAGTATTTCTTAAAAGAATTAAATAATAAAAAATTCTTTAACAAGTACATTGCATAAAGACATGAAACACAAATACATTAATTCTAATTAAAAACTCTGAATTTTTGATAAATGATCTAAACTTTCCCATTGTTATTCAATCAAATATCTTCATTCTCAGTCAACAGCACTGCAAAAACCTCCATTTCTTTAAGATAATATATATACCATGTAATATAAATAGAATTATTTAAACATTTTTCTGTTTGGCAGGAATTAAATTGCTTTCTCTGTTATTTACACTATAGAGATCTATCAAAAATAAACTCTTACCTCTGTTACTAAAACATTATGTTGTAACCTCTTTCTGGCTTTCATTATTCTCACTATAGCTGCTTCAATCGTGATATTCATTAAGGAGTGATTTTACGCACATACATACATTTAAAACTACTTTAGAAATGTTAATGTCTCAAATAAATTTTCGTATTGCTCCACATCAAAGCTCAGCAGTACGAGTACTTTTTATCGTACTATTAGGCTAGGCTTATTTATGTAGGGATTGAAACTTAAGACTTTAATATAAATGTATGTACACACAGTTCTCTTCTTAATACAAACTAAAAAAAAAAAAGGAGTAAATGTATCTTTCACATTTATCCAAGATAAAGCTTCCAGTCTTACATCACATACCTCATACAGTTGGAGAATGAAATAAGTATTCATACTCTACCATACAAAAAAAAGCATACTAGTGAAGTAAGCAAATGCAATGTCTATGGATTTCTGTGTTATTGGACTGATAAAAAAAAGTTCTGGAAATTGTCATCCTATTGCACTAGATGGATTATGAAAAACAAAGGAGGAGGAGTGGTGTGCTTTGGACATGACATCCTTAGTCAAAAAAAAACAAAAACTTTTGCCATGGAAATTATGAAACAGAGATACTGGCAAGATGAATGGTTATCAAACAGAGCATGACTGGACATGGCAACATAGACAGTAATGATGTGGTGAGGCTCCAAAATATTTTTCATATAATGTACCTACCCCTCTTTTGTTCTTTCGTCATACTTTTTGATATAAACAGGAAGACCAATGTTAATCCAGAATACTGCCAAGTACACACTGCTTCAAAATCATACAAGTGGTTAAATTCAAACACTAAATATTTGCAAATGGAAAATAATGAGGAAATTGGTACTCTAATGCAAACAAAAAGATACATCATGCAAATTGGATAAAGACCATTAGCATGAAGAAAAATCTAATCAGTAGTATCCTGCAAAGACAGTCTGCTTTACTTATCCATAAACAGTTGATTATGTTTTTGAACGTAGCTGTATTGCAAACACACACTTATGCAAAATGTAATAGTTTCAAACATTGCAAGTAGAAGATACCTATAGGAGGAATTAAAGATAATTACAAACAAAAGCTTCTACCTTTTTAGACATAAAAAAAGAAGTAACTTTGATAATGATAAAAAAAGACATTAACTTCACTGTATGCAATAGGAAAATGTATTTTCTATCAAAATTCTATGTATAAATGATTTAAAGTAGATAGCAGAAAGCAATTTAGGTTTAAAGACAAAAAATATTATGACTGATTAAATTAAACAGGACAGTAAGTTGATGTCAGGAACGTTTTTAACAGTTAGTTGAAAAATAAGTATAAGGGAAAACAAGCTAGCACACAAAAATAATCCTCACCACTTGTTTATGCTTACAAATATGTGAGTGAGAGTGAACGAAGAGGCCACAAATAGCACAAGTAATCTTAAAAGGGTAAGGCTAAAATGTATGGCTTTCATTTTGTTTGTTGAATTCCACAGAAAGCTACTCTAGGCTTATCTGCACAAGCTGTCCATAATTTAGAAATGGTAGACTAGAGGGGAGGCAGCGAGTCAACACAGCACACCACCAGCTCTTGGGTTACTCTAATCAAATAGGGGGATTGTCCATAACATTGTAATGACCAATGGCTGAAAGGAAAAGTATGTTCAATGATGAGATTTGAGCATGTGAGTCACAGAATGCGAGTTGAGCTCCCCCAGCTTTTGTACATTCTGCATATAACTGCAAGTGAAACTAAAAAGAATAAATTCTAACAGATGATTTTCATAAGAAGTTTAAAAACGATTTCCTTAATTATCACACAAGAAATGGAAGCAGGAAGTAATGATATATTCCATATTATTAACACTTGTCATAAGGGTAGATTGGGTAACATTTTATACCAAGGGTAGGATCACCAAAACTCAATCTTGGAATGTGATTACATAAATTATACAAAATGAAAGTACTACCAATAAAGATCTCACAGCTGTTTTTAGAGCAAAATATTATGTACAGATGAAGATATGGATACAAATAGATTAACATATCAACAAATATTAGCTAAATTAGATAACTAGCACTGCATTTGTAAACAGCCTCATTTAGAAAGCATTTACAATATACTGTATCAAGCTAAAACATCAGGTAATATATTAGGTTTTGATACTCATTTTACACAAATGGAAAACTTTGTCACTTTGTAGTGAAGTGTAAAATTGAGCTAATAACACCCTTCACTGGACAGAATGCAGCAGAAGTTTTGAATGTATTTCAATTACGTTGTTCTTTAACTTGTTACTGGATATGATTTCTTTGGTTTCTCTGCTGTCTTTTATAATTTGTTTGCCTATGTTAAGCAATAATTGGTCTGCATCATTGGCTAAGATAATACAGTATATTTTCTTTAGTACTGAAATGTTGAAGGTAATAATACGATTTGCTTTATTAACAGAATTAAAGGATTCACTTTCACGTGATTTTTGACGTGGTATGTTTTTTGTCAAAGAAGCATTTATTCCAAAAACATCCCAGACATCATATACATTTTTGCATTCTTTCATGATGTATTCATTTCCTTTTTCATTATTATTATCTTCAAATAAGGCCAAATCTTCATTATTAATAAAATCCATATCACTATTTTCATCATATATAACTTCAACATTCATATTAACAATATTCCCAATGTAATTTGGCTGTGGTCATTTTCTTCTTATTATTTGTTGCATTATTGGTACTTGTCATTATACTTTTTGGCTGTTTTTCTCATGTTTCCAACTCAATTTAGCAGAAATTGATAATCCATCATTACCACAATATGAGCATGCTAAGCATTTTGAACATCTAGACCTTGTACACTTGAAAAATAAAAGTTACATTTTGAACTAGAATTGCAAAATGTTAGACAATTGTCAAAGCAGTCATCAGAAAATTTTGATCCATTGATTTGGAGTAGCCAATGGTCCACTGAAGCTCAAAATAGGCTAAATTGTCCATATTAGTCTTTTTTCGCCAATGACATTGCTCAAAAAAGGAAATAAAAAACTATTTCTGCAAAGGGTTATTTTTTTTTACCAACATGAGCTTACCCAATCTGCAGATATGACACAGTGTTAATTTTACACATACGAAAATTGTATCTATATATGTGTTAAAGTTTTCTTTTTCATCAGAGATGAAAAATGAAAATTGAATTTGCAACGTAGAGACCTAATGCATTCTTTGATTGGCTGTATCCTCTGCTGTGGACTGCAGTTTCACCTATTCAAGGCTCATCAGCACAGCATGGGTCAGCAAACCAATGAAATACCATTAGGCCTCTTGGATTTTTGTGACCTTGACCCTACAAAACCTAATCACTTCTAAGTTGGGAAATAGTCCAAATGTATACCAACTATCATCCAAATCCATTCTGCCATTTTCGAGAAATCTTGCTGACAAACACACACGCAGGGGTGAAAACATAACCTCCATCACCTTTGGTGGCAGAGGTAATGATCTATCACATATATATAGTTAACAGCCTAATATAGGAGTAATCACAATTCTGGGCCCTTCGCAACAACAGCCGAGCTTAAAAAACAGAAACTAATCATATTAAGGGTATTAATAATAAGAAAGCTTTTGTTATGTTACATTTAAAAATTTTATACTAATGAATAAGACTGATAAATCTCCAGCTGGACAAGTCATGTTTCAAAGTGAAAAACTGCATAAAGACAACTTCATTATCTGAAATGCATTAAAATGAGGCATGCCAATTATAAGATCACCTATGTTCACAATCTATACAATATTAGTTTTAGGTTTAATAACATACAAAGAAAAGAAACATCAAAATTCATTAGAATGTTACATGTATCCAATATATTCATAACTGTAAAGATTAGTTTCAATGGAAAATGATGGTAACTTGAGTGAAAAGTGTTAAACAAACATTTCAACATGGAATAATTACTTTAGTATTATAATTACAGAAGCAGGTTCAAATGATACATTGTAAATACAAATGGATATATAAACTTATAAAATGTTTTACATAGACATTCTGTTATATCATAAAAAATTTCTAGCAGCTGGAGTAAGCCATAAACGTTTTATTTTTTGTTAGAAATTAATATTATTTTGGAAAATTATTTAATATGTTATCAAAAGTCTAAATATATGTAGAAACAATAACATTGAATTTACATCAAACCAACTTAAACATTTAACTAAAATAGATTATATATTTGTTTAAAAAAATAATTAAAGGTTACACTAGAGTTAAAACAAATTACAAAGGACAGCTGATACGTATCTATATATTAGTCTTCCTGTAGCCATGGGTTCATAAAGAATGACTTTTGATGCCTGTCAGATATAAAAGACAGTTTAGTATAGGTATTATTGATTTATATATTTTGTGAGTGAATAGTTCATGATTGTTTAGTTTTTTCATAACAAGAGAATTAAAAGCAATTATTTTAAAGGCAATAGTTATGACAAGTTTAGTTATGTAACTCAGTAAGAATCGTATGTTGTGTTTATAATTCATTGATGTCCAGGCTATTGAATGACACATGCAATCCATTGATGTCGAGGACATAGAGATTTCTAGAAGGCCTATGTGATAGATGTATAAACAGTGGCAAGCAGACAAAAAAAAAAAAGAGCAGAAGAGAGTAAAGTCACAGGAAGGATACGTTCGGTCAGAGAAAAGTTAAATGCAAAGTTAATCGTTGTGGGAGTGAAAGGCCTAACGGTTGATATGTTAGAGTGAAATTAACAATAAGAGATAAGGAGAATAAACTGTCTCGTCAAAGAATGTTCTAAAGTAATTGAACCAGCCTGAGTGGCCTTTGACAAAAGGCAGATGATTCTTGGAAATACATAAAAGGAGCAGACAATTTTTGAAGTACAGGATACAACTTCAGTAACTCAACGACAATGTATGTGAGCTATACACAGATAGTCTGGTGACAGAAATAGAGAAAAATAATTTGGCTTGTCAACTGAATTCTAAAGCAGTTGAATAGGCCTAAGTGGAATTTTGACATGAAGAAGAGAACTATGACCTCCATAGTGTAAGGAATTTTTGTACATAGGTTTAAC